CTCTCTCTCTCTCTCTCTCTCTCTCTCTCTCTCTCTCTCTCTCTCTCTCTGTGTGTGTGTGTGTGTGTGTGTGTGTGTGTGTGTGTGTGTGTTCTTTTTTCTTGCTTTTACTTCGTGTTGTGTTTGTGCTTGGACCTATGGTTTCTGCTGGGAGGGAAAACACTGCCTGCCATTCATTTGCTGGTGCCGCATTCTGAGTTGGTGTCCCAACAACTCGCTTGGGTCTGGCTGCACAAATGATGAAAAGGCTGAATGCAGCCATTGCCACGGCGAAGGCGTGGTCCGGAGATCCTTAAGACCAAGGCCTACAAAAGCAAATCAATCAAATTATGATGCAAATCAAGAAAATGAAGCTGCAAATCAAGGTGAGGTATGAGGTGTGAGGAGAGATGGGTTGTGAGGTGAGGTGTCACCCTGAGGTTTGGTGCTTTCAGTCCACAATAATAATGTCAGACAGTAGGTCACCCTCAGAAGATGCCCGGTCAGTTGCGAAAGGAAAAGAAAGCCCAAGTGAACCAGCAAAAGAAGAAATTCAATACCTGATCCGACGCGGCGTAAACACGCAACTTGTGAACCATTATCATTATTAATGACATGGGAATGGAGGTTAAGTCATTACGACACCTTGTGGTAGGTTCCTTAGACAGGCACCTGCGTCGTGTAATGCTCATTTCTGTTGTCTGGGTACAATTCGTACATTGCAAGGCTGATAAAAGCACATTCACTTTCTCAAAATTCATGACCAAGTGCATACTTTTTTTCAGTGTTGATCAAACTTGACCACCCTTTGAAAAAARAAAAAAAAAAAAAGAAAAAAAAAAAGCTATTATTAATTTATTATGCCAATGTATATGTGATATAGTAGAATATCCTGTACAGTGACACAGTCTATATTATACTACCGTTTTCATCCATCGGAATACAATGTACTACTAGTAGGGGGATTTTGCCATGTTGCTTGTACCTAGACTCAAAGTTGCGCCCTATCTATGGGACACTGGACCCGGTTTCCAGCAGGTGCTGCTCCCCACCAATAGATGGAGCTTGTTTCAAAAAAAAAAAAAAAAAAAAGCCTCATAGTTGCCCCAAATACAGCTGTAATAACCGTACGAGGTACTCGGATGGATGGATGGATGAAGATGGTAGTTGTCATTGACATGAGCTATATGGATTTCGTGGTCACATGGGTATGCTTGAGGATATGTGGGGAGTAGTACTATGCACTCCAGTCAAAGAGAAGTACACACACAACTCAAAAGAGATGTTATGGGACACCAAACCACTCAATGGCACGATTAACGAGTCAATGAGTACAACCATGAGTCCCGGCGGAACAAATATCTACCCTACCCTCTTCACCCGAATAGAACGCCTGGTCATTATAGCAGCCGTATTTGATTCATTTTTCAGTCCAGATACGGCCATAATTACCGGGCGTTCTATTCGGGTGAAGACCGTAGTAGAAGGCTCTGCCTCGGTAAACTACCAGCAGACTGAGTGTAACAGTTTTCATTTCTGATTTCTTCAGCTCTATGTCTCATAGCTTTCTTAAGCGACCAGTACCTTTCCCAGCCATTTCTTGGAAGATGTGGCTTGCAGCCTTGCATGGTGTGCCGCGCCGGGGAGGCAGTTGGTCGAAATTCCATCCACTGGCAGGCGAATCGGGCCTTGCATGCGACCCGTTTTGCCTGGATGGATGTCAATAAAATGTCACCCTGGTACATACATCCCACCGGAGCGGCAGCCTTAAAAGCAAGCCGCGTCTTCGAAAAAAAATGGCTAATAATACCTTTCTCGGCCTTTTGGCTAAGTAACATCAAGTGTAGTATCTGTTCTGAGCAGTTTAATATCTGATCCGTGGTCCATCGGACCATACGATATTAAAAAAAAAAAAAAAAAAGGCTGCAAAACTACTGGTGGTTAAAAGCTCTTGTTATCCAGCGGCCTGACTCACTGACAGTTGGTAAGGCTCGCAAGTGGCATTTAGGAGGTCGTGGGTTCAATCCCCATGATTGGAACCCATAGGCCTCATGTACCTACCTGGGCATGCTTGGTGCCCGCCACCTAGAGATAGACCACTGGATCCCCCAATTGGCATCGAGCAGAGTCTGCTGATGTTCGTAGGGGAGGGGACCACCACCTGAGGGGAGGCACAGGGATTGGTCCTGTTGGCATGGTCACTGATGCTACCAGCTGTCCCCTAGCCAGTATCGCCCACCTGCAGGTCAGGAGCAGCCCCCGCATGTTCTCTCGTGAACACGGTTCTGGCTGCTACGGGGTTCCCCGTATGCCTACAATTAGGAGTACTGGTAGGTAGGTAGTGTGAGCTGAAATTGAGAGAAGGACATAGACCCTCCTTGGGAAGACGATTTTCAGGAATTCGGCATGGTTACACCGCGTCCTAATCCACCGAATTCCTTGGATTACCGAGGCCCAAAGTGAAAACGCTCCAGAGAGATTTCCTTGGGGATCCTCAGAATCGCCAGCCATTGCGTCCTTGGATTCAAGGGTCCTCCTGAGGTCCTTGGGCTCAAGGAGCCGCGATTGACGGAGAGGAGAGAACACACACGTAGAGGAGATGTTACAACAGTCGAACCGGGATCGTGGCGACACCCTATTGGCTGAAAGCCTSGAGCACAACTGTTTATCTTTTTCTTTTTTCTTTTTCCCCCCGAAAAAGCTCCAAGGACGAATCTCTAAGCCGATGCTCCAAGGACACGGTGTAACGATGACGCCGAAAATGATAAATTAATCAAAGGACTTCCTCCTAATTCCTGAGGATTTTCCAAGGAGGGTGCAACGTCGGTAACGAGCCCCTTTTTTTTTTTTTTTTTTTTTTTTTTTTTTTTTAAACGGGCCCAGTGCCCAAGGCTGATATTATCAAAAGGAAGATTGAGGCCGGGGTCCTCACAATCTACCCGGAGTGACCGAACCAAATATGCTGAGAACCGGGCTCAGCGTCCCTCATCTAATGATGATGATGATGCTGATGATGATGATATTGATGATGATGATGCTAATGATGATGAACTTCTACAGATTCTATGATAGTGATGATGATGATGATGATAATGATGATTAGTATGAAAAAGGTTGTGCTATATCAACAATTCTAGCCTCCCTTTTTTCTTCTTCGTGAGAGATGATGAGAAGACTACAATTGCTAAACACCTCCTGAAATCCACAGCAGTTATCCAAACACTCAAGTATCTAAGGGATTTCCAACAGATTATAACAAAGCTCACCAAAACTGACTTATTCTCTGACAAACACATCCAGGCCTCGCGCCCCCTAACTGCTAGGTTACAGAGCAACGCGACTCACTCCAGCTCCGGCCAGTGTCGTCCTGTGTCAGCGACCCCCAGTTGTCCGTTAGGATGCCCCCTGCATAGCATCCCCAGATCTCTCTACAAGGCCTCATGCCCTCACCCTCGGCAAGTTACAGGGCATCACCCCGGCTCCGGCCAGCGTCGTTCTGGCATTGAACAACCGCGGGTCCTGAATATAACAGTCTGAATTCAGTGCAGCTTCGTACAAACCACCGGCAGACCCTCAGAGACCTGAGAAATTCTTCAAACTACCAGGCATAGCAGAAGAAATCAAGAAACGTTCCAACCAGGAAGCTTCCACGAGTCACCACACAGAGAAACTTCCCCACAAACCTTGTCCCATGCTGCCACCGCCGAGGAAAAACTCCTCGGCCCCAACCTGGAACAGACCCCCTCCTTCCCCCCTTCCGCAAAGGCAGCCAATTCCCTCCTAGAGGATACCTTCGCCCTCCCCTTATCCCTATCTGTCCCCGCTGGGGTTGAAGGCGACCAACTCTCCCACCCCGGCCCCAGTAAGGACGAACCACAAATCTGCCCCGCTCCTGACAGGGCAGCCGCCTTCCACCTTGCAGTGCCCCTGTAGAGCAGGGCTCCCCAATACCACCCCCACCCTTCCCCCACGAGTCCGAACCATGACCACCTGACTGAAACACACCCATCAGATCAATTTCTTAAGACATGAGTGAAAGAATTGGAAATTTCGAAAGATTATGATGGAGAGAAAGGTAGATGATAATTTATTTTTTTTAGAAGACCTAGCGATTGAACAACATCCTGAAGATGATGACGTTGAAGATGATGATGAAGACCAAAATCACTTGCTACTGTGAAAGACGAACCCGATAGCGATTGGACAGCATCCTGAAGATGATGACGTTGACGATGATGATGATGACCAAACTCACCTGCTGATGTGAAAAACGAACACGACCTTGAAACACCACACCTAATGATGACAAAGTGATGATGATGATAGTAATGATGAAAATGAAGACAGCATGGTAATGCTGATCRTACKGAAGGACAGTACCAACAGCGCCCTATGATGATGATGACAAATTGATGATAGTGATGATGATAATGATGACAAATTGATGATAGTGATGATGATGATGATAATACTGATGATGATGATGATGATGATGATGAGGTGATGATAATGATGATGATGATAATGATGATGATGACGACGCTTTAGAGAGATGGTGATGGTGCAAATAACGAATACCTCGGATGATAACGTGGTGATGCTGATGATGGGGTTAAGCAGTGCCCTATAACGACAAGTTTCGCCAACAACGCCTTATGATAGTAAGCTATTAATGATGGCAATGATATTGACGTAGTGACAGTGATGATGATGATAACGAGCAACCTTTGCGGCGCCCTATGAAGACAGATGATGATGATGATAGCCACCCATACCTTGATATTTGGTGACGAGCATGTGATGCGCAACCTCACGCCCTGTGCTGTCTTCCGTTCGGAGTGTTAGTCATGCGGAAAGAGGCCCAGAAAAACAACAAGATGGGGTGTGCCAAGGGTTTTTGGAAATTGAGTGTGGGGACACAGACGGAACTGAAATCCCCCGTGTTGGTCCGATGGAGCAAGTTGGTTAGTTTCGCGCGTCGCGGAATGTGCGCGCGGACGTGGCGCGAAAACAGAAAGACCTAAATCCAATCCAAAAAATAATGTCGGGCTTCCCACCGGGCTACCGCCCGTCGTTTGGAGCAAAAAGGTTTTGGCACGCTTCGCTTGTCTCGTTTCCGTATCAGATCTCGTCGTCGCTCGCTGGTTAGTTCCGAGTCCGACGTGGATGGTCTCAGCCGCGTGACTCTTTCTTTATGCTCGTCTTCACTCCGCACACGATAGTGGAAACCCCTGGACTCGTAGCGCTCAAAACGCTGACATTCGGTGCACAGAGTGCGCGGCCAGTGGGGTTCTACTGCCGTCCACGGAATGACGATCAACTCGTTACATGGCAACAATACCAAGTAAGGTGGGAAGTGCGCATTGATAATAACAAAGCCCGCCAG